GGGGGAGGGACGCAGGGATCCGGAAGGAAGTCAGCGAAGGGAGGTCGGCGGAGCGAGGTAGGCAAAGGGAAGTCGGAGTAGGGGCATTGTAGTAGGGACTCAAGAGTAGGGAGGTCTGGGGAGGGAGGGGAGTCGGGATGGAAGGGAAGTCGTGGGAGGGGGGTCAATGCAGGGAGGGAAGTCGGAATGGGAAGTGGGGTCGGGGGAGGGGGAGTCGGGGAATGGATGTCGGCGAAGGGAAGTCGGGACAGGGTAGTTGGGGCAGGGAAGTCCGGGGAGGGAGATAGGCGGAGGGAAGTCGGTGGAAAGAAGTAGGGGCAGTGAGGGGGACTGGGGACATGGGGGGGTTATATCGGGGAAGGGAGGGGGGAAAAGGAGGTGACATGGTGGTGTTTATTTCCATCACAAAAAAAAAAGAGAAAAAAAAAAGTATGGCGGTGTATATTTCCATGTTCTAGTGGAAGACCGACATTCGTTCGATTTTGCTCATCCTATCGATGGAAGAGCCCTCTCTCTCTCTCTCTCTCACACACACACACACACACACAATCAGTTTTATGTCTGTCAGTCTTTCGTGTGTTGTCTGTCCTCCCCCCGATTTTTTCGAAGTATTTTTTTGTGTGCCCAACTGAGCACCCTTAAGTAGTGCCAAACAGTCGGTGGTTCCTCGTTTGGAGTGCCAACTGCACTCTTATGGGGGCCGCTCGGTTCGGGATGTTTGTGTTGCCTGTCGGTGATGACGGATGGTCGTCGGAGTGTCCCCCTGGCTCAGCGGGTGGTGGGAACCAACAGTTTGCGGGGTTCTATCGTGATGTGAGTAGGTCATGTGCTGCTTTGCTCCGTGTTGGATGTGTAGACTGTCTTGTCTGCGCTCTGCCGCGGTCTTGCTGCCCGTGCCGCTTGCTTTGCAGGTTGTCCTCGCTGCTCTGCTGCCTTGCCGCCTACCCGCGAGTCGCGTGCCTTGTGGTTTGGTAGCCTTGTGGCGGTGCCTCGCGCTTCGCTGCATGGTTGCTGAGCTGCTTGTCCATGTGCCCTGTCAGCCTTCAATGTCCTTTGCGTGCATGCCTTGTAGTTTGGTTGCCTTGTGCTTCACTGCACGGTTGCCGAGCTGCTCGTCTGCTTGCCCTGTTGGCCTTCCGCGTCCTTTACTTGCTTGCGTGCCTTGTAGTCTGGTCGCCTTGCTGATGTTGCCTTGCGCTTCACCGCACGGTTGCCCAGCTCCTCGCCCGCTTGCCCTGTCGTTCCTTGCAGTCGTCTTTGGTGATAAGCAGTTGGGCTGCCTCTACTGTGTTGCCTAGTGCTCCGCAGGGTTGCTGCCCGCTGCTATGTCCCGCTTGGGGACAGTCCGCCTTCAACATGGGTCAAGGGGTTCATGACCCAAACCATCAAATACGGGGATTCCGCAGATTGTCGAGGGTTCAGCCTCCTGATGAGTCGGTGCAACTCTGACGAAACAATCTTTCATCATCGTTTTATTTTTTTCAGTCTTTGTTTTGTTTATACTTATTTTTTCCGGGTGTTGTGTTTGCATTGTCGTCGTTTGTCTTGTTGTTGTTTCCCTCGCTGCCTTACGCTGTTTGCTTGCCCATCCATCTACCCCATGCCTTTCACCCAGTGTGCTTTGTTGTGTTGTGCTGTTTGCCTTGCTGTTGTTTCCCTCGCTGCCTTTCGCTGTTTGTCGGACATAGGAGTGTACTCGGTGCAACCCCTGGGTAATTAGTTTCGTACATCCGAAATAACCATTGTTCAAGGGTCTGCATTATCTGAGAAGGCGTTCTGTATTGTATTGTTTGCTGCGCTGTTTTTTGGCGTGGTGGCTTCCTGTTCTCACAACACACACACACACACACNCACACACACACACACACACACGCACACACACACACACACACACACACACACACACACACAGAGAGAGAGAGAGAGAGAGAGAGAGAGAGAGAGAGTTGGAATGGCCTTTTGGACTGACATGTTTGTGTTATGCCCCTGTCAGGTGTTTGTGCAAATTTGCTTGGCCTTTTGCAATTGCACCTACGAAAACTTGGTGACTGCCGGCCCATTTTGTGAAGTTGGGCAGCGTCCACTAGGGGTACGTTGCAAAGATGGGGTTCAACTAATGGCTGGGGTGTTTCGCAAAATGTTTTTGCCTTCGTCCGGGTCCACTTGTTACTATAAATTTAGTAAAAATGAAACAAAATATTAAAAGACTAACCTTCGGGCTTTCGACTCGAGCTTCTTGATGTTCATCTGATACTCTGGTGTTGGTCATGCTGTCTTTCCTTCTTTCTTTTTCTCCCCAAATTGTCTCTTTCGTGCAGCTGTATCCAAGCATCCAGTGTGGTTTAGAGATGGCCGTCTTGACGGCACTGTCATCATTTTGTAGGGTTCCTATTTCACAATTGCTGTCGATCGATTCCAAAGCAGACAGCAGGCACTCTGAAAGATCATGCCGAGACATCAAGCATGTCAGTTCAGCTCATGACCAGAACCAGGGCCAAGAGAATGATTCAGGCAAGGAAGCAAAGGATCATACCCAGTTAATGACACATAGCATACAGATTTGTGGACTGCTGGAAGGAACAGGGACACCTGAGGAGACAGCAAGAGCTGCAGTAAGGCTTGTAAATGATGGATTCTCCACTATAAAGCTGAAGGTAAGACTCAAAAGGGATCCATCAGGGGGACATATGGCGCAATGTGGGGTCCTTTAGGTTTTGGGATTGAGAGAATCAGCCCGGCCAGGACATTTTCTATGTATTCAGGCCACACATGTGTGTCCTTGGTCGTCTCAATCTGTCTCGGGTCTCTGTTTTCTACCTTTTAAACCACCATTTGTGTTGCCCCCACCTTTGAGTAAATCCCTGTCGGTTAACATGGAGCTGCTTAAAGGCTTGGAATACCTGTCGGCAAATGGCTGCTGCCAAGTCACCGACCGCAATGGCTCCGATTTCGTAGGGCTGGGCAGAAAAGTGCATCGGAAAAATGAGGCTTGGAACAACTGCTCGTTTAAACCTTCAGTGTTCATGGGTTTATGGGATCCTCCGATCCTCTATTCTTCAACCCTTTGAGAATGGGTGTGCAGGTTCTTGAAGTCAAGTCCACCACTTTTCTCAGGGGTATTGCTAACCCCAGCCGACGTGGTGAGTCCTTATCCATCAGTCAAATGCATCCTGGGGAGACTGCCGGGGTTCAACTTCCTGATGAGTCAGTAAAGCCTGACGAACCAGTCTGGCACTGGCATGCCTTTTTTTTGGCGTAGTCTACAGCGAACATGACCACACACAACATGGTGGGTTTTATGGCTGTGGTAAACTAATTTCTTGGACTTACTGTCATGCTTGTCACTGTCTTCAGGCGTTTGAATCGACAGTCTAGGATTGTAGGGTTGGTGTGTATAAAGTAGACCACTTTGCGCAGGGGTATCACTAACTCTGGTTGACGTGGTCAGTCTTGCTTAATCATTATCTAAGAGTACTGGGAAGCCTTTCAGGTACACCCTCATGATGAGTCAGTAAATGGCACAGTCATGCTTTTTTTGTGGGGTCGTGTATAGCAAGCATGAAAACACACAACATGGTCTTGCTAAGCTCTCTGTTTAGACCGATTGGCACGGCTAGGGTCAGAACTGTACTAGCGGCCATGCCAAGTGTTATCATGAGGGTGTACCTGAAAGGGTTCCCAGTACTCATAGATAATGATTAAGCAAGAGTCTGCAAGACTGACCACGTCAACCAGAGTTAGTGCTACCCCTGCGAAAAGTGGTCTACTTTATACACACCAACCCTACAATCCTAGTAGACTGTCGATCCAAACACCTGAAGACAGTGACAAGCATGACAGTAAGTCCAAGAAATTTGTCTACCACAGCCATAAAGCCCACCATGTTGTGTGTGGCCATGTTCGCTATAGACTACGCCAAAAAAAAGGCATGACAGTGCCGGACTGGTTCGTCAGGCTTTATCGGAGTTTGTTGCTGAGATACTTGCAAAAATCTTGGACTCTAGCCGACTTATTTACTAGTTTGGCCCTGCTTTATTTTTTATTATTAATTTATTATTATTATTTTTTAAGGCATGATAACACTTCCCTTCCCCCCCCCCCCACACACACACGCTCTTCCCCTTTACGGTAGGAAAGCCCAAGGGATGGCATTGATTACTTCCAGCCAGAAGGATGTACCTCCCCTCACCCCTGCCTAAGTTATCCTGGACGACTCTACTTTTTTTATCGGATTTGGTTACTGCGTTCCTTACTGTGATCCCACTAGTTTACAATTTTTTTGGTCTGTACGTCCTATGGGCTGGAAGCCAGCATTTTTTGAGACCGTGACAAAATCGAGGGGGATTTGTGTCTAAATGGAGGCCGGGGCTTGTGGGATTTGGGCTGTTTTGTTTAGGGGCTTAATTGTTGGTCTGGGGCGATAGATCCGGAGCTCGAGACACCTGGAGGCTGGGCGAGGAGCCCGTGCTAACTGGGGTGTGTTCGTTCCTATTTACTTGACGATCAGGCTCCTCATGTGCGGGGGAGGTGTAAATGTGATTGAGGTGTGTGGGTGGAGGGAGACTTTGGGGTGGGTGGGGATAGAAGGAGGTGTGAGAGGTGGACTTTGTGGTGTGAATGCAGTGGTTGTTGGGGGGATTGTAAGAGGTGGGTGGTGGATGTTTGGTTGGGGTTAGTTGGAGATGAGGTTAGTGGTTATGTTGGGAGGGTGGGGTTGTTGTTATTGCAGGAGGGGGGGAGGATTAGCCAGTTCTTAGGGTTAGAGTGTTATTTTTGATTGTGTCTAGTTGTCCTGAGCCTAGTTTTAGTGATGTGAACTTCTTGATTATTTCAGCTTTCTTGGCCGGCGTATTGCATATTTGTTTTTAGGTTATTTTCCAATGTACGTGTAATTCTGTTTCTATTATGTGTTTTATAGTGATGATTGGGTTCTCGGGGTTGGTGTGGTGTTCCTCAAAGGTTTTGTCGCGTCTTCTTTTCCATAGTCCCCAAAGGATTCCTTTCCTGATTAGCGAGAAGAAGAATGCTTCAAAGCCTTTGAGAGGGGGGTTTTGTTCCAATTCTAGGAAAATAGTGCCAGGGCTTATTGTGATTGACGTGCTAGAGAGGGTATTCCAAGTGTTTTCTATTTTGTGCCAAAGTTTTCTGGCCTCCAGGCAGTCTAAGAAGCAGTGATTTAGTGTTTCAGGGGTCTGTGAATTGCATACTTTGCACCAAGAGTCTTGTTCTGATCTGTTTCTTTACTCCGTTAGGTAGAGGGGATCGAGCTCCCCATCCAGAATTCTTTGGAGAGGTCATCCTTGCCTGGTGCCTAGTTGGGTTTTAGGTCCTTGAGGGCTGAGAGTAGTTCTTCAATTGTGATGGGTGCTTCCAACATGCGAGTTGTTTCGTTGATAGTGTTCAGTAGATGGGTTAGAAATTTGACCCTTGCTCTTAGTGATTCGTTTTGCATTCCTGTTGGGGTTTTACTTGTGTATAAGTCCTTGTAGGAGTTGGTGCTATGTTGACTAACTGGGTTGTTTCTGAGGTGGGGTTGCTGTCTTTGTTGATTAGGCTTTCTATCTTAGAGTTCCTGGAGTTGGATTTGATTTTTTGAAAGTAAACTTTAGTCATTCTTTCGTTTAGTTCCCAGTCATTCATCATGGCCCTTAGTAGTAGGCCCCTGAGTTTTAACTTTGTCCATTCTGTTAACTCTTCTTAGCTTTGGAGTAGAATTTTGCGTAGAACTCTGAGTTGATGTCACTTTGGAGGTTTATTTTGCTATTTCTATTGTGTTTTGTAGTGCTTCTACTCTTTCCCTCCTTTGTGCTGCAAGTCTTCTAGAAGCGATAGAGACGTCGCTGCTAATATTCTTTAGGATTTATGGGAATTTGGTGTATATGTCCTCGTTTAATCTCTGTCTGGGAGTAAAGTATGTTTTTTAGGCCTATCTGGAAGGTTTGGCTAGTTAGGAGAGCATTGTTGAAGAGAAAGAAACTTTTACCTGTATAGCCCGTTTTGGTAAGCCTGAGGGAGAGTGTAATGGCTTTGTCCTTTGTAGTAGGGGTTATTCTGCAATCTAGTATGGCATAAGAGAGGGACTCCGAGGTAAGGAAAAAGTCTATTCTTGAAAGAGAAGTTCTTTCGTGAGAGGTTTCCTGACACAGGTAAAACGCTTGGTGCTGGGTGCTAGGAGGCAGTATGGGTCTAATAGGTTTTTCCTTGTGATGAAGTCTCCAAGGTCTATGTTGTTGTACTGTGGTAAGGGGTCTTGTGCGTTGGACATTCTATCTAAGGAGGGGTTCGATACAAAATTCCAATCCCCCATGAGGATGGTGTGAGTGAGGGTAGGGATTAGGTGTTCCAAGGAGATGAGGAAGGGGGGGTTCTCTCGTATGGCGTTTGGGCCGTATATTCCTAGGATAGCTATGTTTTCTTCTTTAAGTTTGATATCTACCTTGACCCACCTGCCTGCTGTGCGGTCCTGGCTTGAGGCTTGGATTGTTATGTTATTGCTTGAGGGTGAATCCTGGTGGAAGAGAATGACTGTTCCTGCTGATCCATTCGGTGCCACGCTAGCCCAAACTGCGGATTTAACAAAATGTAGTTTCCTCAGGACTGCGAGTTGAATTTTGTTGTGTTCCTCGCTGTTGGTTAGGTGAGTTTCTTGAAGGCATGTTATATCTGGGGTTTCTGTCCAAACCAATTGATGGTTTCTGTCAGATTTCTCCATTTGATTAGGTTGTCAAGAATAGATGCCAGTCCATTAATGTTCCATGACGTGATGGACAATTCTGGTTGTTTCCTGATTTCTTTTAGGATATCGGCTTCCGTGGTGGGTTTGAGTCTCTTTGGACTGCGACCAGCCCCTCTGTTAGGGGAACCCTCAAGAGGGATTTCCATTGGTTAGAGGGATGTTTTTTGTCAATTAGGGGTTGTGTGTTTAGGAGGTAGCCGACGCAGTTCTCCTCTCTTCCCTCTTCTCCCTTTCCATCTTCGCCCTCTCCAACGGTTCCGCCTCGCTTTTGCCCAACCATTCCTATCTTATGAAGGCCGCCATGTTGTATGCAATTCTGTCCACTTTGTCCTTGTGTCCCAAAAGATGGTATAGGATTTCGCAAATCGATTCCCAAGGTTTCCACTGTAAGTCATCCCTCAGGATAGCCTGCTGGTCGTWGATTACCAATTTACCATCATTGGGCTCAAGTCTCTGAAGCGCGATGTTCCGTTGTCATCCTCCCATACAACTTTCGGACTTCTGTCTTTCCATGATTTGTAAATGAGCTGAGGACGCTGGTCTGCGATGTTTGCTCTGATAAACTGAGATATCTTCTCGGTTTCTTGTGTTGTGACCATGGTCTCTCGAGGATAGCAATCTGTCTCCTCTTCTCCTTTTTCTAATTGTTGGTTTGGCCGACCAGATCTTTGGCGAGTGCTTCCATTTTCGCTTCTTCTGTTTCTTGTTCGCCATGTCCTTTTGTCCTCGTGGTGTTTTCTTCCTCCTGTTGTGCTTTCTCTTTGTCTTCACAAAGATATCAGATTGGCCATTCAGTTGGTTTTGTATCGGTGTTGTTCCCCACAACTTCCGTCTCTTCTTCGTTCTTGTCTACGTATTGTAGAGCAAGTAATTTTGAGAAGGTGATTCTCACTTTGCAGCGCTTCGTAGGGATTTGGA